TGAGCCATATTCATAGAAGTGCTGTTCAATATAGAATACTAAAATAACAATATTACAATTTTTTTCATTCGATATGTCAAATATTGATTTATATTTTTTTTCTCGATCATATAAACAATTTTTTTGCGCCAATAAAAAATAAGCGAAAAATAACGATCAAAGTGTCAATAATGTCACCTGCATACCTTTAGTGTCAATAGATGTCGCATCATGCCGCTAACTTGGTTTCTAATCTACGAACTTTTTATTTTCTATTCCCTAGACTGAAAAGCTAGGGTCTAGAAACCGTAATTCACCTGTGTTTGTTTGTCTGTCTGTCTGTCTGTAACAAGCGCTTGGCACAAATGACCATTTCTATGGCACAAATGACCATTTTTATGGCGCAAATGACCATTTTTATGGCGCAAATGGCCATTTTCGTGGTACAAACGAGTATTCTTGTGATACAAAGTGCCATAATCGTGGTACAAGTGATGTTGTCTAGGTAAAAAATACCATTGTCATGGTACAAGTGACTGTTGCCATAGTGCAAAGTATCGTGAGTCGTGGTAAAACTGACCATTTATTTTGGGATAATTGACCATTCTTGTGGCTCAACTCAGTTTCTATGGTGCAATCAACCATTTCTATGGCACAGTTGATCATTCTTATCTGCGGAATGAGCATCTCTGTGTCAACACTAGCTAGATCCTTATTAGAAATTACCAGTGCTATGGGATAAATAACCATTGCTAGTCCTTAGAATCAACCAACTCATATGCTTTATCATATACATTGGCATCTTGCAATATTTTATGTCAAGTGTTTGAATATATCTTTAGTATGTAATATACAACATTTTGCAAATATCAATGATTTGTCCTAAACTCATCATTGAACAGAATTCATTTTCATTAAAAAACAGAAGGACATCTGTGTCATCATTCCGTCAGTCGAGGGCCCAGTGAATCGACTTTCAATGTCGATGAACCTTACTTGTTCATTGTGCTTCCTAATGACGAAAAAGGTTTATCACCGATAGAATTAATTTGTTTTGCATGTTTTAGTCGATGTTCCTGTTCGAACTGCTCATAGAGCAGTTTTCATTCATGCAGGTCAAGTATGCTTTGCTGCATCAAGAATATTTGTTCCTTTCACACTTCACGACGCTTTTGTGTCCAAAAGTGTCGAATTAGCAAAGAAACGTATTGTTGGTGACCCATTTAATCTTACAACTGAACAAGGACCATAGGTATAGGAAAGCATTTCAAGTAAAGTGTCATAATCTAAACTATGGAGAAAACATACTGATTGAGGATTCAGAAAACAATTTGATAAGACAACAGATTAGCATTAATTTCTTTTGTGTATTCTACAAAACAGTCATACTCAATTAGAAACAATTATTGAATGTATTCAATCGGATAAAAAAGTTGGTGCTAAGCTAGAATGTAATGGTGATCAAGTTGGTGATAAAACTTACTTTACTCGACCTACTATTTTTACTAATGTAAAAGATGGTATGAAAATAGCTGGTGAAGAAGTTTGTCTTTTTTTCTCTTTTCTTCATTTCATTGAAATCGTTTTCTTCTATTTAGAATATCTCTTGGTTTTAACTTATTTTCCCATTAGTCGATCCATCGGATATATCCAGCAACAGTATCGAAATTCTTATCTACATTGGAATCGGAATCATTGGTTAAATAATACAAATAGTTTAGATTCGATGTAAGAAACTTAGATACAATGCCATACTTCTCTAACTTCTGACGGTGGTTGACTACAAACGTAGATCTCTCTACTAAGACATTGAACCTCATATGGTATCAAGTGAAACTTAAGACAAAAAAATAGATCATGCAAATTGTACGCTACAGTCTATCCAAATGATTACCTTTTTATTTCTTTTTCTAATTTACTTTATGAGTATTAGCAGAGGATCTACTAGAATACCAGACAATATGACTGGAGTAAAACTCTTGAATTTGGATTTAACTATCTTAAAATAAAGGTCGTATATAGATATTACTAAATCCGAAATATTAACTCGATCTGATAATGATTCATTTAATTATGATGTATATCATGGTAACAGATCTTATACAGCTATAATGCAAAATGATAATTTTTATTTTTGGTACTTTTTAAAATATTGTAAAACTAAAGCATTATTCCACGAATTAATATATTATTGACTTTTGTCAAAAGGAAGAGCATCTCTTTTTCTGTCGACTTCACACAAGCATCATTCTATAGGAAAAAAGGGTTAATACGATGATTTTTTAATGAAAAAATGTATGGTTTTTCCTACCATGTTTTTTCATGTGTTTTTGCGTTTTTTTTAAAGTATTTTGATCTTTGAATTAAAAAATGGGTTTCCTCAGGAATTTTATGATATCAGAAGATAGCCCGTAAAAAACTCCATCTTCTATGTGAAAATATCTAAGAAAAATCATGACTGGCTCAATCAACTTTTTTCAACAAAGTTTATCATGACGTATTTTTTATGCTGATTATAACGTGTTTTCATTGTTTCTTCATGTTAATCATTTTTCATTCACGATTTAATCTATAAGTTCATTTAACAACCATAACTACATCGAGTAGAATGTCAGAGCCATATTTCTAATGATGCTTCTATGTATATAAATGTGATCGACTAAGTGAGCCTCACAGTGCGTAAATTCTAAATTTCGAGCTCACTTCACGTCAGTCCATTTTTATACTTAACAGCACATAGTAGGATTCCATCAAGTGCAGCCATAGGCTATGAGCGCATTATGTGATTTTAAGTTAGTTAATTAATTAGTACCCAACTAATTAAAACTAATTAGAGAGAGTACTCAGTTAATCAGCACTAACTAAGGCGACTAATACTTAGGGTGAGCATAGTTTGCAGTATACATCCGTAAAGTTTTGAGGACTATTGGGG